ATCGGATTCCAACCCCGATATCAAAATTTTCACTACCGGTCCAAAATTCCAAAAATTTAACTTTCGCCAATTCAAGCTTAAATAAGCTACGGACCTCCAAAACACAATTCGGACACGTCCCTAAGTCCAAAATCACCTAACGGAGCTAATGAAACCGATGTAATTCCATTCTAGAGTCATCTTCACATAGTTCTGACTATAGTCAAAATTCTAAGACTTAAGCTCCCGTTTTAGGGACTAAGTATCCCAAAATACTCTAAAAACTAAAATGAAGCCTTCCGACAAGTCACATAAGCAGAAAAAGGTACGGGAAAAATAGTAAATAGGGGATTGGGACTATTACTCTCAAAATGACCGGCCGGATTGCTACAACACAATGCTAGTGGGATGATCATTGCCGGGTTGATGAGACATACTTGGCCTAGCTAGAGGCCCAGATTGAGGTTTGGGACCAGAGGTATGACCTGATTCCGCCACCCCATCTAGTTGAGCATATGGACGGCGAGCATGAGTAAATGGGTTGGTATCGCAGTGTTACCCGACTTCTCATCGGGAATCCTGTTCATCGCGCTGGTGATCGGTACATTCCATACGCCGGGAGGCATGAGGCACTGGTATGTTATTTGTTATACTTACTTATAACGTTACATTATCCTTCCGTAATTAATATTTTACATGTTATGCGGGATATTGGCTTACATCAGTTCTACCAGTTGGGACTGCAGATGTTGCAGCACACCGGCGAGGGAGAGGCAGCTTTGCACGGGTTTAGCCGTCGGGTTACTAATCTTGCTACCAAGACATTGAGACGTGCCCGAGATGATGAGTGCTTAGGATACGAGGCTGCTTATGTGCCGCTAAAGGAGTACCATCATGGGCCACCAGTGGAGCCTGAACATGGTAGACGTGGCAGACGTGTCCAGAGAGGAAGGGGTATCCCACGAGGTCGTGGTGGTCGGCGAGGACGGGGTCCCCAACAAGGGGGTGTTGAGGCACCCATGGAGGATATTAGAGATGATCAGCCGGGTGACCACCCTAAGCCACACGATGCTCATCATGACATGCTGTCATTCAGCCTTCAACTGTCTCTAGGGACTTCGCAAGTGACCCCGTCAGGTCCATTATTGATCGCGGGCACAGCCATTACGTGACAGGAGTGGGATCAGTATTTTCCGGATCCCCCAAACAGGAAAATATGATGAAGGAGATTCTAGAGATGGAAACCTTCCAAACAAACACATACAAAGATGAACCAGAAGTGATTCAACATTTGATGAAGGAGATTCTAAAGATGGAAAAGGCACTAGCTGTTCATCGTGCAATGGATGATCTTAACTACCTGGAAGGAACGGAGGATCAGTATTGGGATTTATTAGAAAATGAAAAATTACATAGAGACAATAATTATCATGTTTTCCCAATAGTTATCGAGTGGGAGGGACTACCTAAGTTTCTACCACAGATGTTGGACGTAGGAGTCCCATATTATTGTAGAAATCGAGCAAGTGGTCTTATTAATGATAACGATAAAATATGAGAAATGTGTATCAACTGAGACCTAGATTACGATGCCCTTTGTCCCGAAGGGTGCATACAAGATGTTGACGAAGAAGATGAAGACGATGACAATGAAATAATGCCAGACAACGACGATAATGGCGAATGACAATTGTTTTTTATTTCTTGGGGTGTATGTTAAATCGTTGTATTGAATCTTTAATGCTAAATATCAATTAGATTTAACCCTATTGGAAACATAATTTTATTTTATACATTTTACAACCTGAACATTTACATAAATTTAGTACAACAAAATTACTCCAATAAAATACTATGTTTATCCTTGATAATTGGGCATATTGGATGAACTGCCACCTAGAGCTGAATTACCACCGCTTCCCAAACAAGATGAAGGATATTTACGGCAGTCATATCCTATTTGGGAATATATGCCACATTTACGCGCATAAACGGTATCACTAATATCTATTTGGTTCTGTATACACGTTCTTTTTTGCACTTGCCGTTGACGCACATAATCCTTGTTACACACCATTTTAAATGGTTTCGGTGGCCAATAATGCTCAGCACCCACTGGCTTCAACTATCCACTATAGGTGTTTAAGTATGCAGCAACACTACATTCTTTATCAACGTACCTCGTTGCCGTGAAACCTGTATGTTGAAAGCACTTCATGGAATGTGAGCATGGAAAGTGATAGATTGACCATTTTCCACATGAGCATAATCTTCTGGCTTCATTGACGGTGTGTGTATTATTCCCGCGGTTGTGATGCAGACAGTGCGAACTTCAAAAATATTTCGCTCGCTGCAATACTACAAAAATGAATGCCATTGTGCTCGCTTCCTATATTTCTCAAATCATTTCATTGGTTGTAGCATAAATTCAACACCCTTTTCATCAATGACGATGCACCTCTAGATCTTTCAACAAACCTCTCCGCCATCTGCTTGAATGACATCCGCACCATGGCAGTGACAGGCAATCCACGTGCAGACTTCAATAACCCATTGAAAAAATCTAACATATTTGTAGTCAGAATTCCCCATCTTCAACCACCATCCGCATGCAAAGTCCACTTGTTAAGCTCATGTCGCATCAACCAACGATAGCCTTCTGGGTCTTCCTGCCTAATCAATTCCATTTGCCTCCTGAATTTACACTCTTGGTGATCTGTTGCAGCCATCCACATTAAATCATGCAAGTCCTTGTTCGGATAAGCCATCTGAAAGTTGGCCTTCAAGTGCCTAACATAGTAATGGTGGTAGGCATACGGTTCTTGCCATGCACACAAATTCTGTACTGAACGTAAAATACCACCATGCCGATCAAATATTAGACAAATACCTGAATACTGTTTGACAACGTGCTCCTTCAAGTGGTTCAAAAACAATGTCCACGTCTCTTGGCTTTCATTGGCACAAATAGAAAATGCTAGGGGAAATATACTTCCTTTAGCATCTACTGCAACGTCGATCAACAACTTAATATCATACTTTCCATTGACATGAGTGCCGACTATGGATATTACCGGCCGACAATGTACAAAACCATCAATGGTTGGTTTAAATGCCTTGAACACATATCTGAATATATATTTTGGTATTCCCGGACTCCGCTCAAGCGTCCATTCAACAACAATCCCGGGGTTAAAGTGTTGCAATGCAGCCATGTACCTGGTAGAGAGGCAAATGACTTATCCCAGTTACCATAAATAATTTCAAACGTACGTTTACGCCCGAGAAATGCCTTTCTTTTGGTAATGGTACATCCATATACCTGGTGGACAGATGTTATACACTCTTTGATCTTGTACCTTATGGACACATCAATGTATGAAATCAAGACAAGAGAAATCAAGTCAACATTCATGTTAAAATAATTCCTATGAATGTATCAATTTCACAATTGTGGGTGCCAATGTATTTTCCCACAATCCACATATTTGTTTTCAACTTTCTCGCACGCAGCATCCAATTACAACCTTGAAACTATCTACGACAAATAACCTTGTATACTTTCGGAGATGACTCATGAACCACGATCTCACGACACTTTTTTATGCTGTACATTCGCACTACCCTGCTTAGGCGCACTTTATCAGCAAAAAGCATGCCCTTTGACAACACCGTTGCTCTAGATTCATCCCACATTGTTGTCCGAATTTCGTCAAGATCCTTTGTGAAGGCATCGACATCCAGCATACTTGGGAATTGATCAAGGTAAGGAATCTCCCTTGAATGAAACGGCACATGAGACTCGTACACTCTTGGTCTAACGAGAGGTGGAGCATGCTCCCTCGTCAAATCAGGTTCATCATTCTCGTCCTCATCATTGTCACCCTCATCAGGGAAGGGTGTTATCTCCAGACTCGTCAGCATTGTTGTCATAATCACTATGATCTTCCTAACTCTGTGCATCTGCCAGATCTCGATTAAATATGTCGTCTTCGGGCAATTGAGTAAGGACAGGACCTTCAAGTTGCTCGTTTTAACTTCACAACCAATAAAATAATGAGTTTCTCAGATTTATCCAAACATTACATATAAACTTTATCACTTCACTTACAAATCATAATGTGTTGATATTCCATGATACACATTATCCTGTTGATGATGACTCCCGGATGGACTACCATGATCCAACACACTAAAACTAGGCATATTCTAACTGTCCGTTGGTTCATAACTTGTAAAATTCATATCTGGTCGGTACCTCCTGTGGAATATATGAGCGTTAATACACATTCAATACATAAAAATAAACATCGTAACACAAAGAAAAACTGAAGTTTATCACTCGGCTTGTTGATTATGTAAACTTGGGGAGAAATTATGTTCTCGCTCCGCATTCGCCCGTGGAGATAAGTTTAGATCTGGCCAAACTCTTTCACCCGAAACCTGTTCGGATAAAACTGCTCCAAAAAAATTACCCGATGATTGAAGGATATCCCTATTTTGCGTAACCTCATTATTGCGAACGTCTTCAGCCTTGACGTACATTTCCAACATTTTTATCACAAGAAGTTCCCGGTATTCATCCGAAGTCCTCAAAAAATCTGTCAGAGTTTCATCGTCTTCGATGTTAAATTCAGCATAACAAGCAACCCCGTGCGGAGTAATATAATACGGATATCTTCCGGTTACTTTAATATTCACCGAACGTTTGCTCACACTCATTTTTTTACATAACAACGATACCAATCTATCGTACTCCATTGTAAGTGGCAACTTACCATGACACTGTGGAGAATAACTATATCATACTGAGTTATTTTTCATCACTATCCCACCCCAATATAGTGAAACCCTAATTTTTTGCTCTTCGAATATTATGACAAAATGTAAAATAACTTAAGAAAAAAATATTTTGGAAGACCTAAAGGATCCAAAATGAATTTTTATCTAATTGTGGAACTCCTTTAAGGCTAATAAAAACGCTATATATAAAATGAAAACCCGTCCCTTAGCCCAAAAGAACTGGTTCCGGACTCTCCTCATTCCATCCCTAAAAAGGAGATTTGCGCGAGATCAACTATCACCTCTGTCCATTTCAAAGATAGAAGAACATTGAACTCTTCTTAAGCATTCAGAAAATCCAAAATACAAATAACATCAACTAATTACCTCAAACTCTTGACATACAAAAAATAAAATCTTTTTGTGTCAAGACAAGATTGCACAATATTTCTAGCTTAGCGCCGCCAAACCCAGATCGTTTTCCTAGGGTTTTGGAATCGTGATAATGAGCCAGAGAAATACTGGAGACAGCCGTCCCTGCGATTTCTGCAATCAGCAGATTGCCGTACTTTACTGTCGAGCTGATTCAGCAAAGCTGTGTCTTTTCTGTGACCAGCACGTTCATTCAGCTAACGCCCTCTCCAAAAAACACCTCCGATCTCAGATCTGTGACAACTGTTGCTCCGAGCCTGTCTCCATCCGTTGCGCCACCGACAATCTCGTACTCTGCCAAGAATGCGATTGGGATGCTCACGGCAGCTGTGCACACGATCGGACCCCTGTTGAAGGGTTCTCTGGATGTCCTTGTGCTTCTGAGCTTGCTTCAGCTTGGGGTTTGGATGTTGAGGCCAAGAAACCACCAACACCTACTCATTTGCAGCCCACTTGGAATGGTTTCTTAGAGCCTTGTAATTGGATGTGTAAGGATGTTATTCCTCCACCTTCTGTCTTGTTGCAAGATTTAATGGTACCTAACGCTAATAATAATTCTGGGATTTACTCCACAACTCGTGAGGTGGGTAGAAAGCAAAATCCAACTTGTGGCAAGCAGAAACAAGTGATATTGAAACAATTAATTGAGTTATTCAAGAGAGATTTTGCAGATGGGGTTGGAGGTGGATCGGAAGATTTAGTTCCAAAGACACCTAATGGGAGTAGTGATTGGCAGGGAAATGTTAATGTGACGGAGGGGAGTGATGCGGTTATGGGTGGTGCCAATCAGCAGCTTGAGCCGCAGAGCGTGCCATTTACCTCTTTGCTTATGATGCAGAAGCCTCATAATTCAAAAGACAGTGACCGCATGGTGCAAGGGAATATTTTGTCAAGCGGAAATTCCTATGTTCAAAACACCCAGGTATTATCATAATTTCATGGTGCTAATTATAACTTTATCGGTCATAGCTAGGATATTTTGCATAGCCTGAACAAGTGCGATGAATTAATCCACTTCTGTTGTCTCGTTCTTTATATAACATATTGTTCAATAACGTTTGCCTTTGTTTCAAATGTGAAAAGCTAAGGTGTGTCGTGCGGAATTGCAGAATAAAAACTGTTTTTGTAGCATTGAGTCGTCATTGAACTGAGGATTTCTTCATACTAATAGTGATTTGATTGATAATTGAACATCCAACATGAATCTGCACGTATGATGATTCGTTTGAGTTGAGAAAAGAATACTATGATAAGCCCATATCATTATAGTGTTTGGTGCCTTTCGAGTATATTTGGGATGTGAACAGACTTGAGATTCTGCTTTGATTTGTTTCTAGTGCGCATCTACAAAGCAGAGGAAAATTCTGTCATATTGGAATCTTGGGGGTAGGCGTTTTAGAGGTTGGGAAAAAAGTTTCTTGTACTAATGGAATTGGTTGTCATATTTGTACAGGCAGCATGCAAAATTTCCTTTTCTGTCAAGTTTTGTTAGATCTTGAGTTAGTCGTGGTTAATAACCTAGATCTATACCAGTCGATCCTCCTTTTTGTGGTTTTTAGTGATTTTGGCATATGCATAAAGTTGCATGAGAATCACATATTCTCTCTATGGTCTATTTTGGTTCTTGAGGTGTGTCTCAAGATAGTATCTTCATTTTTAAGTAAATAAAGATACATAATGCTACGATGTTGCCTTTGATATTCTGTTTCAATATTAAGACAATCTTCTATTCCCATTTCTTTTTCTAAAATGGGATCGTCTATTTCCATTTTTGAAAAAATATGATATTCAGAACTATCTTTGAGCTGTCAAAATCAGCTGTACACCTTTAATCTTCTCTGGTGAAAAGTATTAGGAAATTTAAAAACATGCAACGAGCTTAATGAGTGTAACATAGACTTGTCATTGACGCAGCTAGTGAGGTTCTAACCGAGGCGCCTCTATTGCTGGTTGAAAACTATTCCAAACATAGACTTGTCATTGAATTATGCTTTTGCTCTTTTGAACTGATAAAATTTAAAAGGAAGAGATATCGGTTGAACAGGACATGTTGCTGATATACTTTATCTTGTACCCTCTTTAGTTACCTGAAATGATACTAGCTGCTTCTCCTCTACTGCTTGCTTCTTTGATCCAGTTCTTGAAGTTGGACTGATTGTATACACGGCCTTGTTGTGTTTGCTTCTTCAGATATGGGATTTCAATCTGGGGCAGTTGAGGAGCCATGAACAGTCAAGCTCAGTGGAAGCCGACTACAGTGAGAGCGACATGGCTTACATGATGAAAAGCTATGGTGAACTCATAAAAGGAACATCATTAGCATCTTCAAAAGGATTAGAACTCTCAGGCATTAACCGCTCAGTTGCCCATGAAGATATGACAGCTCTCAGTGTAAGCTCTAGCCACCGTTAATTTTATCTCATTTGTTTTATTTTAATCCCTTAAATCAATTAATTTGGCATGATTGAGTCTTGAGACCTGTAGTTTTAAGTGACAGATTAGACATAACAAAAATGTCTGAGTGACAGATGTCTGTTACCAACTTTGTCAGTTCTTTGTTCTGTCTTGGAGGATTGTTGAGGTTTCTTTTGTGTTAAGGAGTCGAATATATAGTACCTTTACAATTTCGTAAATTCTAACAAATGCATGGTGTACAACTGATTCTGCAATGCGTTTAACCAGAATATGGCCATGTCAATTTTAATTAACTCTAGAACTTTCTATTGTCTGCTTTAGGAACCACGACCATTAGTTGTTCTGTTGATTCACCTTGGACACTGCTTTTGACATTACTTTTTCCAATTAGCTTGGGTTAATGTTATTGAGAATTTGAGGTACCACATTATTACCTGATTAATAAATAAATGTTCGATAGTTAGGTCATACATAGTAATGCTGACAGTAACGCTTCATTTTCTCTTTGGTATACATGGATGGATAGTGAAGTTATCTGCGAAAAAACAGATGTGTCAAATGGTATGGTATAATAAAGTCTTCCTCTTGAATCTGAGAAATTACTTGCTTCATGCCTTGCAGAATAATTCGAATAACCGAGGGGGAAGCCAGGGGCCAGCGACATCTGAGAGCAACAATTTACCAATAATTAAGCTTTCTTCGGACTCTGGTTATACTAAACGGAAATGCTGTGGTGTGTCTAAAGATTTGAACTTTATGGAGCAAAGCATTTTTGTGGGAGGTGAAAACACTGGTGAGGAAATACTCAAGGCTGATATGGAGCTTCTGGCGAAGAACAGAGGAAATGCAATGCAACGTTATAAGGAGAAAAAGAAAACACGAAGGTAGGTTATTTCTTTTAGTTTTCCTTCAGCATAGTTTTCCCTTGTCACCTCTTGAGTTTATCCCTACATGTTGGTTTTGTTGAATCTCTGAGTGTGAGTTGTGATGTCCAGATATGATAAGCACATACGTTATGAATCAAGGAAGGCAAGAGCTGATACTAGAAAGCGAGTTAAGGGTCGATTTGTCAAGGCTAATGAAGCTCCAGATGGCTGAATACCCGTTGAATGACAGAGGATAAGGATCTTTCTGTCTTTAGGTATATATTTCTTAGCCTGCTTAATATCTGTAATCTTAGGATGCGTTGTGCATTTGTAGCACCATTTGTTAGTTAATATTCTACTCACTTTTCGTGCTTCTGCATATGTATCAAGTGCTTGCATGTACAACCTTGATCATCAGGTTTGTGGCTAGACCCCTAACCCGGGGACCAGCCTTTTGAGGCAAGTCTTGGAAGTGAAATCTTGGCTAATTTTGTGCGGCATTAATTGGGATATTTGATGATATGAATCCACCAGGAGCGGATCGTCTGGATACCTCATTGAGAGGTAACCAGAGACTCAATTCAGTCTCCCTCTGGCAATACTTCGTGCATCATTTCTTTTTGAGTGGTATGCATTCATTCATTCTGTCGAGATGATCTGAGTGATAAAATTCTTGTTTCTTTCACCTGGAGCCGGGGAAAGGGAGGAAGAATTCTTGCTGAAGCTGATGTAACCAGAGACTAAATTCAGCCTCCTCCCCCCNTAAGTTGGTAGTGTTGTAACCAATTCTTCTGTCGTGCGACGTTTTGTTAGCCGTCAAGATTTATCTTGCATGTATGCACTTCTCAGAATTAGGAACGGGAATTCCTCAAGTCTCTTCCTTTAGAAACAAGGCTCAAGTTTGTCATTTTATGGCACCAAAAGACCGACAACTAAAAAGGAAAAGGAAAAAAAAAAAAAAGAGAGGAAGAAATATAATAAAGTGCCACGTGCTAGATTCCTGGGTAGATCCAGCTGACTCTAATCTCATTCTATCGTGTGGTTAATCTTGGGAAATAATGCAACTCGATAGAAGAAAATTTGTTTGATGATGTGGGTTAATTTGTTTGTATCTGACGGTTCTCGTTTACTAATGTGGAATGGTTATCATAAACCCGTGCAGCTGTTGCTTTATTATTAAAATTCAAATGATGTATTAATATTGCGGATGTAGATGGCGGCCCTTAATTGAGTTTTGGAGGAAATAGTGTTGGTTCATCAAGGAAATGAAGAAGCAAATGTAGATGAGTGTTAATAAAAGATGCAGGCATAAATTAAGCCACTTGCGCATTGATCCGTGATGGTATAACTTTTTCTTGCCGAGATCTGAAGTCTTGTGAAAGCTCTTTTATCCTGTGAATGCTTTTAAGGATCATCTAGCAGAGAAAAGAAACTACCGCTCCCTATTTACTTCATTCACGCCGACAATTTGAACAATGTTTTCAGTCACTTGAATTATTCAAACTAAAACAGAGTAATATTGGTCTGATGAAACAATCAACCATGAAGGACTTGTCTTTCTTTCAGTTGAAGAATCTCATGGGAGCTAAGATGAGGAAAGGCTTTAAAAACTTCTGTAATAACGAAAGCTCTACCTCCACTCTCAACCATCAAACTGCAGCCTCTGCCCGCCCTCTCTCATCTACTTACATGATGGTCACTGCTACTACTGATCTAAAGCTGAACGAAAGGGATAACCAGACAACCTTGGAGGAGATGTTGCTCCAATTGGACATGGAGGAGAAAATGGCAAGAAGAGAAAAGCTGAACGAATATGGGCAGCATTGAATGTCTTGTGTCAACAGTTCAGACATTCTTCCAACTGCAAGGAACGCGCGCTTTTCTCTGGATGGCAAAGATGCCATCTGCCGGTCTTCTTTCCATGACGTGTCTCCTTTGCTAACCACAAGTGTTGGTGCAAGAAAATCAGTATGCTGCAACCACGAGCTGAGGAAAATGGAGATGAAAACTCGAACTCAAAACATGCCCCCGGCAATAGCAGGGGAGAGAGTGGTTGGGTGTAAACCAGGAGTAGTAGCTAAGTTAATGGGAGTAGAGGCCATGCCAATATCAATACACAGAAAGCATAGTAAGGATAGAGCGAGTGCAATTATCAAAAGCCAATGCCCGAGGAAAAGAGCAAAAAGGTACGAGATGGAGAGTAAGAGAAGATGAAGGGTGGTGGTGGAAACGAACTGTGGTGGCCACAACTGTAGCGTAAAGAGGGATGAATAATCAGAATGTGACGAGCTCTTGTTCAAGAAAAGGCTATTGCGTTATGAAACCCGTCGCAATGGACCTAACAAAAGATCACAAAGAAGTAGGCTGGCCAATGCGAGGCGGCGTCTTGTATAGAAATAACAATGACATGTAGTAAGATTTTTCTTTTTACTTATTTGTTCAACACAGGTGCTTTTGTCAATCATATATAGAATAGGACTACCTTTTCTGTATGCCAAATTAATTGTTGTTTACCCATAAAACAGTACAGTTGAATTTATACGTGGTTTATAGACAAGTGAATCGATTTGATCCTAAAATGATAAATGACTTAAGCAAGAATATAAGATTTAGCCTTGAAATCGAGATAAAACAACAAATATCTTGACTCCGGGAGCAGAGCTTCCGGAGGCAGTAAGAACAATATTAATGAGCAAGAAGATAAAATAGTATTAAACTTTTGAGTAGAGTATAGTATTAGTATGTCAGGAAATTCATGTCCCTATTTATAGTTGCATCTAGGGAACAAGGTCCTAGGATCAAGCCCCTCTTAAATGATAATTATGAGGGCCATTGAAACATGTGTAACGGTGGACAGTGAATGCCATATTCTCTGTAATGGACCATGCACTTAATGCTATAGAATATTCTCCACTAAATGCTATCGGGTGGCAGGTATTTAATTCGCCTTTATGAATACCATTCTCTTCGAGATCGTTATCTTCGGACCCGATTGTCTTCTGTCTTCTGTCTTCGGCTCCACGTGTCACTTCCTAATACGATCATTTAATATGAATATTTGTACCCTATATAGATAGTCCCCCTGCTTTCTGGTGGTATAACCTTGTGTCATTAGGAAGTTGGTAAAGATACCTTTTTTCGGGAAATCCTCTGACCCTCTTTGAAAAGTTTCTGACGGTTGACTAGACGCACGCCTCTCTGCATTTAATGCCCCGAAAATGCGTCATCCCACGATTCAACAATACTTTTGCCGGTTATCGAGGTAATTATGGCCACGATTTTAGCCGCCTATTCCTTTACTTATACGCATCAAACTTCTCCATTTACACTTCATAACTTTCCAAACTCTCTTTGCTCAACTCATACTTGTCTTCAACTTTCTCTAACCTCCTCCTGCTTCTTCCTTCTAATAACAATGACCTCTTCTTCCAGAAATCCCAATTCCTCAAAGAACAAAGGTAGTGCTGGTGATGCTGCTCCTCCCACGTGGCCACCATGTTTTGCTAACCAGCATGGATGATGACAACGACCGTGGGTGGATGGAACGGTTCGTTGCGGTTGCCACCGGGGATATCATCCCGTCCACGACTCCATCCTTTCCGGAATTATGGAACTGTAGTTGTAAGTTCGCCATTTATCTTTTCTTCTAGTTAAAGATCACCCCATGCTGCTACTGATGCTTCTTCTTTCACTTATTTCACCAACTCGGTGGACACCACCTTGGGTTGAAGGCTTGGACCAGTGGGTCCAGAAGATTTTGGATGTCACTACGCCCGAGACCCGCACGTGGAAAGAACTAGCCCTTAAATATGGACGGAAGACCAAAATTCATGGTAGGCTGAACTCATCTTGTTTTCACATTTCGTATAGGAAAATTGATTAACCTTTCTCTCCTGCTGAATTCAGGTCTACCCCAGGGCTCAATTGGCGTCCCCGTGGAGGATGTGTTGGCTGATCCGGCTGATGCGGCGAGGCTGCTGCAGGAGGCTTTCACCCGATTAGGAGTCTCCGGGCCCGCTTCTGGTGCAAGTGCTTCTTCTCGGAGTCCCTGGCCAGAGAAAAAGAGACAATAAGGCGACGTTCCTCCGCAACTAGAGGAAAAAATAAAAAGGCGAAGGATACTGTGCCCGAGCCGTCCACGGATGTTGTGGCGACGAGCGCTGCGATCAAGCCGGCCATAGACACCGTAGTGATCAACGATGATGGAGAAGCCAGTGATGAGGGGGCTTCTCTACATAGAAGACGGCGGCCTTTATCAGCTCAACAGAATGCTCAATCTGTTGAGCTAGTTACGCCAACGGATGACGATGTCCCGGCGCTCTGGGGGAATTTGCTATAGTGGAAGATGCTAACTCTCGCTTCCGAGTCCCAGTCGGTGTTCCCGGTACCATAAGGCTGGGTACTGGGTGTCTCCCATCCTCGGTTGATGAGCAACCAACAACTAGCAATGCTGTTGTCGCAGCTGCTTCGCACCCTACAACGACATCATCTTTATCTCTTTCTTCACCAACTCTGCCTTCGCCACCAGCAACTGCTACACTATCTCCACCGGCCGCAGCTTCCCGAGAAGAAGATGTCCCTCTTCCCCAGTCCCCAGTTCATGGGAATTTGGGGCATAATTATTCTGCCCCCTCTGAAGATCCCCAAAGGAGGAGGAGCGTCACCCTCTCGGTTTTTACTGGATGCCATCTGTTGTCCCGGCTGGTGGAACTTGTTAATTATCTGAAGCCTCTGGCTTCAGAAAAATACAGGAATAAGATACAAACTCTCTCGGGAGAGTTTTTGTTGAACAATGCCATGCACAACGCAGCGACGGTATAATCTTTATTTCCTCTGCTGTTTCTTCTATCTTTGTTTATGGCAGGGTTTTGAGTTTGCATTTTTGTTTTGCAGGCTAACTTACTTGCTTCCGAGAGCCTTAAGAGGTTGATTCTTGATAAGGAAGAACTTACCTCCGAGCGGGATCAATTGTTAACCGAGCGAAATCAAATTACTACTCATCTCACGGAGCTGGAAGCACGAGCTACTGAGGCCACTGAATTGGATGCTCGGTTGTAGTAAAGCGAGCAAGAGGTAGTGACCCTTAGCCAAGAGACTGCCCAGTTAAGGGTACAATTTAAAGAAGCTAGGGCAAAGTGGGTCGAGGTCCATAATGCCGTTCTTGCTGCATCCGGTCGCGAGGCTGCCTCTGCTGAAAGATTCAATAATTTGGAGGCGGCCTTGAACTCCAAAGCTGAAGAAGTCACTGTTGCGGAGGAGAAGTATGCCCGGTTGGAAGAGAGGCATAAGAGAGTCATAGAGCACAACAAAGTCTTCAACTCCAATGTCTGCGACCTCAATGTTAGCCTCCGGGCCACTAGATCCGAGCGGGATAGCCTTTCAACGAGGTTGACCGTCTTAAAGAAGAACTCCAGCGTCGAGCGACTTCCCTCATTGTTGAAAAAATATATATTCTATGTATAGCATGAGGAGAAATCTTGAGGAGTCCAAAGCGGGCATCATTTACTTTGATGCCGAAATCGCTAAAGGCTCGTGAGCTGGAGACAACTGCCCGAAGGGGTCTTCCGGTCCAGCATGATGCTACTGACTCTTCTGATTCCGGTTCTGAGTTCTCGGGAACTGAAAAAGAATCGGAAGGTGAAGATGCTGAAGGCCAAGACGGTGAAGGCCAAGATATTGAGCCAGCGGCGGATCTACCTACTTCTCCCGGGGGTGCAGATGCTTCTTTTCCTCCGGATTCGGGGATGCAGTAGTTTAGCTTTTGCTTTCTATTCTTTTCCATACTTTTGTATTTGTGCTATTTGGCACGTGTGCTGTGAATAGAAGTGCTTTTTCATTTAATTATTTGCGCAAGTTTTACTCTTTGCATCGAATTGTGCAAGGCTTCGGGTGTATTTCTCCGCGAGAGCATTTGGATTCTGGGCATAAGTTCTTACGGAATCAACCCTTTACCGTGAGGGTTTCATAAGAGAGGGCCCTCTTAGGTTTACGGTGTTCTTGAAGAGGACGTCTCCTGTTCATTACGGTATTAGCATTGAAGTACTTGTTTAGCTTTCAAATGATAAAATTAATTCATCGATAGGACAAGAAACAAGATAAAAACAAAAGGACTTTACTTTATTCCTTCCATTTTCAAAAGTACATAAGCATTCATTGTGCTAAAAAGGAATTGCCATTACTTGTGGCTAACTTGTACAACTTATTTCTACGGGGCTGGCCGCGCAGTCCCCGGTCCCGATGATACAACTTTGTCTCCGGGTTTCGCGTTCCCCGTCGATGCGGCAGCCATTGTTGCCATATTCACATATCATTCCCTCCCAGTGTTCGAATGCGAAGGATGCGAATTTGAACACTGGAAGTCTTGATCCTTTAGAGATTCCACTAGTGGATGGTTAGATAATCTTTAGTTCGATAACAAGCTTCACTTCCCCTTGGGAACTTTGTTATTGAGCCAAAGACTATCTAACAACCCCTCAGTGGCTTGTACTCGTGAACGGTCGGGTAACCCTTGGCAAATAGCAAATTTTACTTCCCAGTAGAAACTTTTGCTACCGAGCCAAAGATTATCTAACTGCTCCGTAATGATCCGTTTTTTGCGTGCCTTGTCATTTTAAGGTCTTATTTCTGCTGACGAAGCTTCCTTCATAGTAAGCTTTCCATTGCTGCCTTGTTAAAAACCTTGCCAGAAAAAATCAATTGGGACAAAGAGTGCAGCACATACTTTCAGTGTAGGCAAGGCTCATCAGCAATAGTATCTTTTGAGGTGTGCCATGTTCCAGATGCTCGACAACTTTACTCCGTCTTGATTTTCCAATTCATATGAGCTTTTCCCGGTGATAGCTGAAACCCGATAGGGTCCTTCCCACATTGGACCTAACTTTCCTGCATTGAGCTCCCGAGTGTTCTGAGTTACTTTCCTTAAAACCAAGTCTCCTACTTTGAAATAACAGAGGTTGGCCCTTTGATTGTAATATCTTTCCATTATCTACTTTTGGGCTGCCATCCTTATATGTGCAAGTCCCTGTGTTTGTCGAGCAGCTCCAATTTGACCAACATTGCTTCATTGTTTGTTTCTTCGTCCGCTTGGAAATATTTCAAGGTAGGTTCCCCTACTTCCACCGGGATCAGGGCTTTTGCTCCGTACACAAGAGAGAAAGGAGTTTCCCCCGTGCTTTATTTGGCCGTTGTTCGGTACGCCCATAGTACTCCTGGTAGCTCTTCGGGCCATTTGCCTTTGGCTGCTTCCAATCTCTTTTTGAGATTTCAGATAATCACCTTTTTGTTGATTCAGCTTGACCGTTTGCGCTCGGGTGATAGGGTGACGATGTGATCCTTTTGATTTTCAAGTCTTCGGAATTTTGTGACCTTTGCGCCTATAAATTGTGGCCCGTTATCGCAGGCTATCTCTTTTGGTATCCCAAATCTGCAAATTATATTCTCCCACAAGAAATCTACCACTTTGCG